TCTCTCTCTCTCTCTCTCTCTCTCTCTCTCTCTCTCTCTCTCTCTCTCACACACACACACACACACACACACACACACACACACACACACGATTCTCTACAGCAAGATATTGTGGCAGGGAATGCTCCTGTTCCAGCCAACCATATCCTCTTCAAAGACATTCCATTCCTGCTGAACATTCAGCCAGCATTGTGTACTCACTGAGTATCTGTAGTCTTCATCAAGCTAGTTTTTGGAGGAGAAATTTGGAGGAATGATACTATGAGCTCCTCCAAGTATGATGGTGTCTACCTTCTCGGCTTGGATAGTTTTGTCCTGTTGGTGGACCAGCGCTCAAGAAAACTGGCCTTGTTTTTAGAATAGATCTGTGCCTGCTTCAAAAATGATTGAGGAGAAGTGCTTCAGATCTTGTGCAAGCACAGCATCTCCCTGGTAGCCTGTCTTTTTTCAGGTTTCTGCATGAGCCCCCAAAAAGGATACCATTGCAGAAATGATGGCATCTTTTCTCAGCATATAAGACAGAAGCTTGAGAAAAGTTGGGCTGCTTTAATGAAGAACAGAGATGCTGTGTTTGCAAGAGGTCCAAAATGTTACTTCCTAATAATTTTTGAAGCACGCACTGCCCAATATTTTCCTTTAGTATGTACTTCTTTCAGGTTGCCTGCTGTAAGCTTTCTCTCCCACTTGGTACCCAAGAAACAGAGAAGAGGAAGTGATGAGTGACATTATCAGAAAAAGCCATGGTGCCAGCAGGTGAAAATACCATCAATCAGAGTATGTTCACTAGGTGCTGATGGTGGGAGAAGATTCAAGTTGGCCTCTATTAAAGAATAAACGCAGAATTACTTAGCCCTGTTTAGGGGCCTCTTTGAAATCCCTTTGTACTCTTTTTATTTCAAGTAGTAACAGGTATAAATTATGCAGCCATGTTAAACTTGTTGGATGAAAAAGACTGGATTCACACACTGCAATAAGCCATGGTTTTTGCTGCAATTTAGTGAATAAACCATGCCCATCGTTGTAAGCCATGGGTTGGGTTCATATACTATGCTAAAACAGTGGTTTGCAAGCCACAACTGCCTGGCTTCGTACAACATGCTAAGCAAATTTTAAAATGCTTATTAAGTCTAAGAATTATAATGAATTCCATTTTTCTCTCTCTGTTCATCACTCTCACACACCACTTAACTTACTGTGTCTGCATGAAGCAGCATGCAGGCTTCAGCAACTTCTGCCAAATCCCAAGAATCGGGCACTGAGAGTCACCGCAAGTTAAGGACGAGTTCTAGGGGAAGAATTAAAAAAAGAAAAAAGATTTTATAACAATCTGGAAGGAAAATGTGCACAAGAAAGTAGACTTTATTGTTATGAAGCAGTGAAATCTCTGACTGGGCTGCACCAATTCAGAACACAGGTAAGACTTCACACAAAAGGGTGAGTCTCTTCCCAACAAGCTAATTATCTGCATGAATGGGATGTTTTTATGAGGGAGACATTCTTCAGCCCCCCCCCCCCCCAGGTAGGAAGTGGTAGAATCCAGACAACAATTTAAGCAATATAGGGAGAAGAACTAAGTGGCCATCAAGAGCAGAAGTTTAGCCAATTTGATATTCAATGACAGTTTCATTACAGAAGGAAGAAACTAGAGTTTGTCTCATTTGCATCTCAGCCTTCCTTCCCTCAAGATGATCAGGCTACCATATAGAGAGAAAACCCTACTTTATCCATACAACAATGCTGGGAGGTAAGTTTGATCAAAGAATGGTCCCAAACAAAATTGTGAATCTCATGTCTGATGGGAAATCTGAGCCCAGGCCTTCCAACCATTCCCAATCCAAATTCATCACATCAGCTTTCCACAAGCTGATGCCTTGACAACAATATAGATTTACTTATAATACAGATGAGTGTGTCATGAACTGAGTCTTAGGACATCCTGTACGTTAGATAGAGAATGCTTGACTCCGTAACAAGTATGGTCTACATATTCTGGAAGCCATAATATCTACACATCTGGTGAAAAACACCAGGATTCAGATAAGTTTAGAAGCCAGGCATGGGTTTCTATTTCTGGAATGCCCAATCAGAGTTAGCAATAAACCCTACCATTGCTAACCCTAACCTATTGTTAACTAAGATGGTAGGATACTTGAGAAGAACAAGGTATTCCATACTGAGACAAAAAGACTCTTCAGTGCTGCAGTCCAGTCCATAAATTATGCCTTCACATTAGAACTACACCAGCCCCAAGAACTTCACCTCCATTATGTAATTTGTGTAAGATGCAGCCAAAATCCCACACATTAGCACTCACAATCTCTAACAAACAAACATGTCCCAAGGGGGATTTATTAGGGAAAGCTTATAAGCTATTAGCAATCTGGCAGAGCTAGAAGCAGCAGCTATTCCCACCTCTCGCAAATTCAGGTGACAACCAGCATCTGCACATATCCAGTGTCTGAATTCCTCAGAAACTGGCATGTCCACGCAACTGCGATTTTGCACCAATAGAACCGGAATTGTGTGTCCTGTTCTTAATTACGTAAACTGCTGGGCCAACTGACTGTGGATTGATTATTTATCCTAGCTGGAGAGAGGTGAGGACAAAGAACAACTATATATGGAACTGAAGCCCAGGAAATATTACTCAACATTTATTATTGTTATTTTGTATTCAACAGTTGCTTATTATTAAGAGTTTTAGTAATACTGTTTGGTTTGATATGCACTTATATCTAAGCACAGCACAAAGAAAGTAACACATTTACAATATACCCAACATCAAAAATAAAACAGTAATCAATTTAAAACATTACCCAACTTTACCATAAGTTGGATGCCACTGGAACAAAAATTCTGGGCAAAAAGGTGGGGTTTTGTTTGTTTGTTCTTCCTGTTTTATGACTCTCAACTAGAATCCCTTCTAAAAATGGCCAAACAGAATGCCTCTGCCAGCGATCCTCAGAAGAAACCGCAAAAAGGAGAATTTTAAAGGTCACAGATAGCTCTTGAGTTTTCAGTTGCCCATATGTGGTCTACGTGCAATTTTATGGGAGGAAATTTTAAGAAAGGTGCAGCCAATATCCAACATCACCTCTAGTGCTTTAGTGCTCCTATTGAACTCAAGCCTACCCCACCCAATGCATGCAATGATAATTCAGTCCTTCAGGAGAAGACAAACGTTCCAGATTATAACGGACATTTCCCCAGCATTTATTTTATTCCAAGGGACAGAAATTTCCCCAGTCAATTTCAGGTAGACCTATAGTTAAGAATGGAGCCTATGGTAGCAAAATTTGAGTTAAATACACAGTGATTCAAGTTAAACACACAATGGTTTGAGTTCATTACACAATACTACTTATGCAGTATTATATAATAATATTGTTCCGGCTTACATACAAATTCGACTTAAGGACAGACCTTGGGAACGGAACCATTCCTAAACTGGGGGCTACCTGTACTTTCCAGGGATGTTTGGACTACAACTCCCAGGATTCTATCGACCATGCTGGTGGGGATTTCTGGGAGCTGCCCCAACATATCTGGGAAGACATCAGGTTGGAGAAGGCTGAAATTTTGGCCCCTTTCAATATACACACTTTACAAAGACTTGAGTATTGCTTCCATTCTCCATAACATTTAAAACATCAGTAACGTCTGCAGGTAAAAAGCAAACATTTATGTTTCTTGCCTCAAAAAAAGAAGGGGGGAACACCCAACTGGAATGTGAAGTTCCCAGATTGTACTTTTTAAAAATTACAGTTAAGAAGAAGAGATTTATGAGCACTCCTTTGGGAGAAGGGGGTTATTTACTTACACAACTGTAAGATAAATCAGCCAAGGCTCTTCCTTCATGATAGTCCACAAACAGGTAGATGGAAAGCTTGAAAACTCAAGCAGAGAAGTCAAATCTAGTGCGGAAGGAGAGACACTAGATTTCTATACAGACACACAAAGAAATGTGCATGTATACACACACATACAGTACATGGGGCGGGGGCATGCGTACACACACACATGGTTTCCTTTTACAGGCTTTTTCTCTGCTACCTAAGTAACAGATCTCTTGGGAAGTTCAGATGGAGAGTAAGCTGCAGAAGCAGATTAAATCCTAAGCAACAAGGATCCTGTTTTCCATGTTAATGTCCTGCCCAATTAGAAGAAATGATAAAAAGCACAGAAACAGAGACAAAGAGGAAGAAGGGTTAAAAAAAAGTTTGCAACAGCTAGAAGAGGAGCTTAAAAAACAAACATTTCACTTAACAGGATTTTTTTTCACGGCCCAACAAAGCAAAACTCTCTGCATCTAGCAGAAAGGTTGAAGGGGAGGGGGAGGGGGGAAAGAAAGAGAAAACTATGCTAGGGTAAACCAAACTAAAAATTAAGCTAAACTAAAAGGTTTCACCAGAGTCTATTTCTGGATAGGAACCTTTAGAAGAAGTGAAATCTCATTTATTCTGAGTTTAAGGTGAATTGCATACCACTTCCCCTTTTACTGCTGGCTAATTTTGAATCAACACAACATCAAAGGAAGGAGGATTGAAAGGCTGTTAGATAAATTAGCTTTTTAGTACCACTGGGATGAGGGAGACCCAGTGTAATCTAATGTCTGGAAAATACTATACAAAGGGCAGAGTATAAAATGCAGGGATACCCAGGAAGTCAGTCAAGAAATACAGAAGACTCAATTCTCAAATGTTGGACAATCTTTTTGACAAGGATCAAAGAAGGAAGAACACAACCAGAATAGCAGAAATGAAAAACTGAGAGTTTCCAAAGGACAGAGGACTAGAAACGGCATGATCCCCAAAAGCTATTGAGGAGGGACAGAATGACTTCGTTTGGAAAGGATCCTGACACCCAGGAGAAGCATCTCAATGTGGCCTACGTATCTTCCCCACCCACCCAGGTCCCCAAGTGAGCACTGACATCAGACCTGGGAAACAGGTAACTCCCAGGCAGGTGTCCGCAGAAGGGCAACTCTTTTTCTGGACTGCAGCCTATAGATGCTGATCCACAGAACAGGTCAGAATAGATGGGTAAGGTCCTTGCAAGGCCTAGTTTCATATTGGAGGCTGATCATCCCAGGCGACTCTCCCAGTTACCCTTATCCCTTCAGAACCAGGACCTGATGCCATGAACATTTTACTAGTTCCCATCTAGCCATAAGACAGAATTGTAAAGCACCCTGGTTTACCCTAAATGTGTTCTTTAATTCTCCCACTTGGCTTTATCAACTAACTTCCACAGCATTTCTTCCCTTGCTTTTCCACAGCATGAAAAGCAGCCCCTTTTGGGTTTCTCACAAGAACCCAGAAGCTATGGAGTTCTAGCTCTGGTGTGTTCCAAACAAGAACAAGCCACATTTCCAGGCTCAGGTGTGATGGAAAACTCGCCAAGGCAGCAATGGTTTGTTTAGCCAGCTAGCAGAAGGACAGAGTGGAACAAGTATCCAGCTAAGAGCAATTGTGGCTTATTGTGAATTGTGACCAAAACAATTCTAATTATATTTTAGAACATATAGACAGAGGAAAGTTAGAGACAGCTGGACAAAAGAGTCTGTCTGTTAGTCTCTCCTGAACAGTTGGGGGTCCAATCTTTATTAGGACCACCCTGGGAAGGAGATATTTAATCCTTTCTTTCCCATATTTCATCCATCATTCTATTCCTGCAAGCAGCCAGAGAGCTTAGAAGAGAGTCTCCAATGGTCCCAACGGATACTTGTTTACTTAAGGCAAACAGAAGCTCTAAGTGAGGACTTAATGGTAAAACCACAGCTGAAGAGCAAAGAAGATCCTTTTTACCCAGCATGAAAAAACTTAGAACTAAACCTTTAATGCAATATGTAACTGGGCTCTCACTAAGCTAATAGGCCCCTTAGGATGTATAAGGAGGCAGCTCATTCACCACCCATAGATTTAACACCCTAAAGAGACACCCAGTGAGATTTGATATGCCTAATGTTCCTCCCTCAACACAAATAGAGATTGTGTCAGTGCAAAAGCCAAATTCACATATTATCATACTCTGTTATGTGCAATTTTCATAACATCCAGCACATACTGAAGGTACAGTGGTGCACTGTGAAAGGAGACCTCTACTGCTCCATCTTCTAAAATAACCTCTCAAATCTGTGAACCAATCCAAACAAAAATTCAACAATACATATATTGTTGCATCAATACAGATTGTGTAGCAAACTAGTGTCTTGAGCAATCTGCTACAGAGATTGCCCTGAGTTGTACTTTCATTTGCAAATTGGGCGGGGGGGGAATCACATGCCGAGAATCCATGCTGGAATCCACTGTCTTTCTCTCAAAAGCAGACTTCTTCCACCCAAAGGCAGCCAAGCATTTCTCATGAAGGTCTCAGGTCCTTCCATGCTGCTATATTGAGGAGGGATAAATCACTCAAGGAAAGAGAGAACATAAGGAACATGTCCTTGGTTCTGCCCCTCTTGGTAAAACACACTGTATTCCTTCAAAACATCAAGTCCCAGTTTCTCTCATCATCGGCCATGCTTCCTAGGGATCCTGTGAGATGTCATTCAGAAGCATCTGACATGTCACAGATGGCTTTCATCTGCATTTTCAGAGGTTTATCTTCTGACTAGGTCATCCAATTGTCCTGAGGACCTCTCCCCCCTTGCAAATGTCCTTTTTTTCTACCCAGTCCCCATGATGTTGCATTCAACAATCACCAAGTTCAAGTCATCCTTAGTACGAAGGTAGTCTTTTCCCCATTATTCTGGTGACTGACAGTGAGTAGAAATAGAAGCTGGAGAGAGATCAACAGTGGGTGCAGCTATCTCTAGTTCTTGGCCAAATCAGATGGGCATGAGCACTTTAACTGAACAGGGCAGAAAGGCCCTAAACTCTGACTCCAGCTATAATAAAGACACACCTACATCCGGCTTATTGAAAATGAAATTGAAAAGGTTAAGAAAGTTTGCAGACAAGCATGATGGAAGCGTAACTCTAACTGGTTGGATAAAGTCCAACACCATTTGTTTCCTGAGACCTCCCCCTTAAAAAAATGAAAGCATAAATGCATGTCTCAAGCTATTTACTAGAATAGTTGTATCCTACAAATATTAACAGCCATTTCCAATAAGCGTTCATGGACTCCAATCTACAACCCTAAGCTCTAATGCATGCATGCATAAAGTGCCATAACTCTTCTTCCTTCTACAAATGTCTTACACAGCTAGCCTCTGAAAATGCTAGAAAACCAGAGCGAGGAGACCTTAGATTTCAGCAACTGGAATTTAAAAGTTCAATGTACTTCCTATATATTAGCACAATCAACCTTCACAGCCCAGTAGAGGAGATCTGAGGATTGTACCCTTGTCTTTGAGACCTTGACCTGAGACCACCATAGGGAGTGGTTTAAACCATTTAAAAAGCTAGCAGACCTTCAGATTTTTTTTTTTCCCCTTAACGCAGGGAAGAGATTAACCGATCTACAGACTTCAAGATTTGACTGTTTGTTTATGGAGAAGTCCTCTGGATTTGCTAGTTTTATTGTGCTTTTACTTATGTTGGTATCCACATTTTCCAACCCTGAAGCTTTTCTTGTTTATTATTGCACCTGGCTGGGGGAATAGCTGATTAAGTCTGTTGTGGGCATTCAAGATATAATCATATGTTTTTTTTTTAATTCTGAAGACTCAAATCACTTGTCGTTAATGTGTTTTCAAAAGAAGAGGGAGGACTTGTTTTAAATAGAAACCTCTGAGAAACAGCTGACATATTGTGCTTTACAAGTTGCTAATTTGTCTGTTATGTTTATCTGCTTTCCAAATAATTATCTTGTAACTGTCCCCAGTCCACTATGTCAAAATCTTGGGTGACTTAAAAGTGTCACCATGCCAGTCTTCTAAATACAGATTATCTACTCATTGTTTTCAGCACGGATTCTATGGTAACAGTACAACAGCTGATTAGGAAAGTACACGACTGTTTGTTTAGTGATTTTATAAAACTCCAGCTCTCACTCCAGGTCACAAAAACAGGCATTCTTCATCTTGAAACACTTTAGCATGCAACAGATTAAAAACAAGAAACAAGAAAAGACTGCGAAAGAGGAAGAACTTCATTTTATTGTCTCCTAAGATTTGCAACATTTCAATTCCGTTTGCAAATGTTTTGGAAACAGAATGTCTCTGCTACTATTATTTTTTTAAAAAAAAAAACTTCTGGAATGTAAAACATCACACCGCAATGCCTACATTCCACCAGAAACAAAAGGGGCAAAGTCCTGGAATAAAATCCCCTCCAACCCCTCTTACTTAAGTGGAGAACCTGGGGAATTCAAGTTCCAGTTTGTTTATTTCTTATTTTTACCCTACAAATAGCCAAGGGCGGGGCGGGGGGAGGAAACGTAGCAAAAGACAGACAGGAACTGAAGTATTTAAAACAAAAGTCAATACAGTTCCAAATTCCAAAGAGGGCACCAGAACAATATAAGACAATACAATACATAGATCTCTGCTGAGCTCATACAGAATTACTAAGGGTCTTGGAAGCAGGAAAAAAATTATTTTTGCTCCATTGTGGCTGTGCTTCATTCTGCAAACCAATCTTCTCATGTTTTCAACAGCATGTAAGTAATACTAGAACCTGTTTCACATGCTAAAGGTTGCCAGTTCGGTAGGGCAACGAAAGACCCCTTCTGGCAGCTTGTCAGCACAGACCAGCTTCTTGGGACCTGGTGCGCTCATTAGATGGGCCCCAATGAGAGTTGGGGTACCATACATTCAGAAGGACATGCCGGATCTGGGATGGTGATGGGTTTAGCTCCACGTTATCACAAGCAATAGCTTCTTGGTTATTTTCAAAACAGAGCATGCAGCCAGAAAGATCACCTGTGCTTCCAGACACCCCTATTAGTACCTATCTTGAGC